GCATCATATGCTGAAAATATATGAATTATCGCGTATTTATGTTTTTCATTACATACCAGGTGAGGGCTTAATCACAGACAAACAGACGTAACTCTTCATTAGGTATCTTCGTTCACGCATTTAACGGTTGATTTGATTATTATCAGTTCCGCGAACTACTCGTCGCAGCGCTGGCATCGGATCACTATAGAACTTTAATGCAATACCGTGCGGGACCGAAATCCGTACACCTAAGCACGAGAGAATCATTAACGGTCAATACTAAATAATGCTATCACATTATGCTCTGTATCACATCTTTTTCCTTTACATTTATCTTTATTTTTCCAATATTTGCAAACACCAGGTCTTAAAATTACCTTCAATTATTAGAAAAAAGGATTTAAATTGCACATATCTTGAATCAAAATCCGTACAGCGTTTTACGATTGAATCAAAATCCGTACAGTGTTGAATCGAAATCCGTACACTGTGTTGAGGATGAATCAAAATCCGTACAGTCATGAATCAAAATCCGTACATGAATGTAAATCGATCCAACTCAATGAAAAAAAAACGTGTTGCTATCTTGAATAAAGTATTTTTTTTTGTAGTTGCTTGGCTAAGAGTCCAAAACAGCTATATTCGTTTAAATACACTAGTTTACAGCATATTTGAACTTTGTACGCTGATGGTCATTTCCCATGTAAAATCGTGCGCTGAATCTAAAAATATAGTCAAAAAAAATCTCGGTAGGATAGTTTTGGAGATATAGGGGTAAGAGAGGCATAGTGAACAGGTGGGGCATAGTGAGCATCACGCGTGCTCCAGCTTGGACTTCCGGCCGTTCAGAACAAATTTGTTGGCTGTAGGATCAATATCTTAAGGATATTGATCCTACTACCAGTTGATTTGTTTCATGCAGTTGGAGATCCAGAGCCAAAGTACGGGATGCTCACTATGCCCCGCCTGTTCACTATGCCCCTCCTTCCCATGGCTAAAAAATGAAATCTCACGTTAAAAAAACTAAAACACAAATATCTCTGGCTGCAATGAAGTAATATTAATTATTTTAACGCCAAATTAAACGTGATAAAATTTTATTTCGATCGTTATAACACTATTTTTCCGTGAGAGTAATGGTAGAACCACCATAAACATTTTAATTAACATTGCTTAAAGACTTAGCAGAAATTCAATTTTTCTTAGGAAAACTTAAAAAACAAACTATTAACTAACAACAATACCATCAATCTCACTGACAATTGATGTTCAATTGATCGAACGAAAAAATTTCTTACCTCTAATTTAGCGTTAAAATAATTGATATAATCTCATTACAACCGGAGATATTTGTATTATAGTAATCAAACTTGTTTAAAGTGAATTTTCATTTTTAGCTGTATCTCAAAAACTATCCTACTGACATTTTTTCGACTACATTGTTGAATTCAGTGCACGATTTTACATAAGAATCATTCTTCAAAGGTTCAAGTTCATTTTTTTTACTTTTACTTTTTTTACTAATGATATCAGCGTTAGATTAATTGATGCTCCAATCGATTCAAAGGAGAGGTAACTGAATTCTTTGTATTTAAGAAGGTAACTGTTCTGGATTTTTATGCTAACTAATATCATGTTTAAGGATTAATTTCTTCCAAATTTTATTCTATACCAGTGCTTTGGGTTAAATATTCTTACTGGAGTTTTCCTCCGATCAAAACTTCGAGGTTTTTGAAATTTGACATGTGATAACGTGCAAGATGCGCCATACTTTGGAACTCCACCAACCCACTGGTATCAAGCGATAAATTAACCGGTTCCTAAGATGGTAGCCCTATAATGGCGGATAAGTAAAAGAAAAATACAACCATCTTAGAAACCAACAAAAAAAGACAATGAACTGACATCAAGGATTAGTTTTCGTTTTGTGCATGAAAATTAAAAATGGTAAAATAACGACTATAACTTAATTTAATTTAATACGTCAAGAGAGTAATAATCATAAAAATACAGATCTTTCATTGCTTCTTTTCCACAGCTTTCTTCTGCTTCTTCTCCATTGTTACCATTGCCTTTTCAAGTTATAATGCTTTCTTGCTTCCAACCCTAATAAAAATAACCATAATAGAGAGCTTAACGACGTGTTCGGGGTATCATCCAAACCATTTGTGGGAAAGTTTACCCATCCGGGATAAAGTTCGTTCATGGTATCGTTTATTAGGGAACTTTCTTTGCTCTTCTTCCTTTTCTTCCTCCTCTTCCTCTCTCGCTCAACCTTTTTCTTTTGTCGTTCCTCAATCCTTTGTTTCTTTGCGTTCTCTTTATCAATTTTCGCCCGCACTACTTTCATGTGTATTTCCGGTCATTCCTCGCTGGTAGCTGGGAATGCTCTCTGGCCCATTTCTGTCTGCTCTCTGTAAGGGAGCATCCAAAAATGACGTAGCATATTTTTGATCAATTTTATACTCCTCCCCCCCCCCTCGTAGCGTATTTGGCTATATCCAATACATGGCCGGTCACAAATTCTGAAACCCTCACCTCCCCCCTCAAATGCTACGTCATTTATGCATGGTCCCTAATTTGTATATGCGTGTTGGTGATATCCTGTAGGGGAGCTGCGTTGTTTTACTTTTCGGCTGGTTCTTGACGCTCTTCATTAAAAGATATTAATAATATAACGTTTACAATACGAATAAAATAAGAGAGTAGCGATTCAATACGGCATCTCTTATGGTGGTGAATTGAACGGCAAAATCCCTGGATGCTTCTCGGTAAGATTTCTCCGCACGCATCATTGCCACAGTCTTCTCCAAATCCTCCGGCGTGTATTTAGTTTCCATGATCTGCTGAAAAACATTAGATAAAGTAGAATCGTCATTAGTGATGCACAAGTGTACGGATTTAGAATCAGCTGTTATATATGGATCGAAATCCGTACAGTACTAATTTTGATAAATAAATACCATATGAACGATCCATTGCTTAGAATTGAGATATAAAACGATAAACACTTACCTTTCCGATCGACCTTCAGGAAACTACTTGCAAAAATCACTTAAATACGCTTAACAACTGGAAGTAAATCCGAGACATTTTCTTAGAAAATCGTTAAGAACTCAACCGATTGACAGAAATGCCCGACACGTGATAAGGTTTTTATTTTTCTTATTTTAATTGCATGTTATACTGCTTAATTGTTGAAGTAAACATCAAGCTGATGCATGAATGAACATGAATATGTATTCATGTATAATATTTACATTGTTATGATGCATATAAACAAACAAATTCAACAGGGTGTACGGATTTCGGTGCTGTACGGATTTCGGTCCCGCACGGTATTGTTTGCGAGTTAGCGAGCAAGCTTGTTTTCCGCGAGAAGCCCGAGAGATGTCGTTACTGAGGTCCTATGTTTGGAGATACTATGTTTTCAAGAAAAACTTTTTCAAAGAGTTACGTCTGTTTGGCTGTGGCTTAATCATATTTTGCCGTGGAGTGTTTTGGTTTTGAGATGCTCGATAACCTTAGAGGGATCGGTTTTGCTTATTGAGCAGAATATCATGGGTTTAATCCCAAGCTCTCCCACAACATAACACAACACAAACATATCAAGTATCATTCTAGCTAAAAATATTTATTTGCATAATATAACCTGGAAATTTCAGGGTTACATCTTCCTTATTGAAAGCTGAGGAGACATAGAGCTGCATCATATTGTATGTAAAATAATTATTATTTTCATTGCGGAATACCAGTTTTTTTATCCATATAAATGTATTTTCATTATAACGTATTTTAATGTTCTGATATATTTCATTTCTCCATAACATATCAGGCATAACATTTGATAACGGCACAAAAGCATTTGTAAACAAACTTTCAAAGGCCCTTTATACGCGAACCAGGGTACGCCCACGCAAACCAATACCTCTTTCGGAAAGGTGATAGTTGCCCCTATCCGATGATGTTGTTGGTTTGCGTGGGCGTACTTTGGTTCGCGTGTGGAGGGCCTTAGAAAGTTTGTTTACAAATGCTTTTGTGCCGTTATCAAATGTTATGCCTGATATGTTTACTATATATATAAATAAATACTGGGTTGGGAGGGAGCATCAGGGTATCATTTGTCCTGAAACTGGACGATTGGAGTGGTATGACAACCGGAGTCTAGGAGGCAATAAACACTATCATTTTCTTTATCCTACCGATTCGATTGTGATGGTGTGAATTCTACTCCAACAGTTCATGGAGATTGACGCGCCCTTCTTAACAAACCATCCTGTAGGAAGCTTAATAAGTATTGCGAATTGCGTTATTCGATTTGTTGGATCCTATCGTTGGAAGGAGATTCTTAAATTCCCGTGGATTTCGCGTAAGTGCCTCTGCTTACGGGTCCACCCCACCGTTTTTGGCCCTTCATACAGCGATATTGTGAATTCAGATCGGTAGCTCAAATTGATCTTGCTATTAAGTGGAGCTGCATACAAGACAAGATCTTCGAAGGGATGGTGGCTACCTTACATACATACATACATGAATATGATTCATTTCAGTGACATTCAATTGTTTTTGTTTCCATTTTAATATATAAGAACAGTTATACTAATGAAATACACAAGTGTAATGTGATTAAAAATTGCGATTACTAAAAAAAGAAGCTTGTTGGGGTCCGCAGTATTATAGCAAATTATTGCAGCCCATAATGTCGGATAGGTTGAGGACCACTGATCTAAATGCTTCATGATTATCACAAAATCTCATTGTATGTGCATATAATTGCAAAGCACTGTAATTTCCCATTCATTATATCACATCACTGATGATTCTCTTTCTGTAGGGTTTGTTGCTAATCCTGCTATTTATATTCTGTAACTAAAACTCTATATATCCTTTCTCTGCCCACTCAGGTGCCTCGTTTGATCTTTTTTGTTGGTTTGTGCTGTGTGATACAGTCACAGGCGTAATTAATTTTATTGCACCCTTACATGTGTTCTCTTTTTCTCTTCCCTGCTTTTTTTCAGACGGTGCGCGTGGCTGGCGGTCAGACGTGGGAGGATCAATCTCTTGGGGACTGGCCGGATGACGATTTCCGGATCTTCTGCGGTGATTTGGGCAACGATGTGAATGATGAACTGTTGACACGTACCTTCAACAAGTTTCCCTCGTTCCAGCGGGCCAAAGTGATTCGCGACAAGCGTACGAGCAAAAGCAAAGGCTATGGATTTGTTAGCTTTAAAGATCCCCAGGATTTCATTCGGGCAATGAAGGAGATGGATGGTGAGTACATTTGAAATCGTTTTATTTGGCTGTTTGTTTTTATACACACATCAAGACATCACATATAGATCATTCTGAATGATTAGCGCAGATGACAGAAACACATAAACACATAATTTTAATATTAATAGTGAAAAATAAATAGATTTAAATGCTAACCCCTACTTTGGGAATGATGGCATTAGTTTAGCCCATCGGGCCCCAGCCATATGAGACGAAAAGTTGAGGAACGTTATATTGCCTTCGCGGTGAACTTGGTTTGGACGGCAGATAAACTGCACCATCGGAATATTCTTCCGCCTCCTTGAAACCGCTGCCGTGGCTGATTTCGCTCTGCTGAGCATTGGCCATCGGGTTGGAATATCTAGAGCCGTATGGCAGCGTTCTGGGCTGCTCGAACTCATCCTCACTGGCTTGTAATTGAGCTGCGTCGGCCTCTTGTTGACGAAGTTTCTGCAACTGTTGCTGCTGGTTTTGCGCATAAGCCTTCTGTGTTTTTGTAAAGTGGTTGAGATAGAACATTGTAAATGGCATGCCTGAGGCGCCCCAGCCCCGAGACATGAAAACGTCTTTTTTGATAGGTGGCATTAATCCGGTGCTGATGTCGTTGCCATTGACCCCGGATTGTTGTTGGGGTCGCGCTGGATGACCGTGCGACGAAATAATCATTACGGCGAAGCACAAATGGACACAAAGTGAAAGTTGACCCTGTAAAGATAGAAGGAGAGGAAAGTCAATCATCTTGATGATGAGGATACAGACTCATGCATGTATGAAAAGGTCAATGTTTTAAGTGAAATATTTGTGTCTCTTTTTGTCGTCGTTTTAAAGGCATATATTCTGATATTAGATTAGTGTATATTTGTTTAGTCACTGCCCATAAAAGCATAACCATATTAGCTTGATTGTGTATGTATATCGGGAAATTTTACTTTTATGAATAGTGAAATATCCTCTCGAAATAATAAACAGCGACATTTTTCGCAGAACCCTTTGAAGATTAGGATTTATGATTAGATTAGGACAACACCCAACTTGATACATTTAGGCAGTATGGCACACGTTATGTTCTAACTCTTGCAGTTTTGGATTTCAAAACATTGGGCGGACAAATATCTTAGTCCGGTAAATATTTCCAATATATTTTTATACGATTAAAATTCATTCGCCAACTGATTTATGTGAAAACAAATAAAAAATCCAAAGACTCATAATTACCGCTGTTTAACATCTGTCTCCTTTGAAATATTCTTCAGTCATCCCTCGGAAGTTTTTTTTTAACTTTCTCCGGATGATTCTTCCAACTTGTTCTGATAGTTTATTTTCTATATTCCCCTAAAATAATCTTAAGGCCACTCCTGGAAGTGTATTCTAGTTTTCTTGGAATAATTACCGCGACTTTATTCCATCTTTCCGCGTAAGCTTGTTCCAGCCTTATTAGGATGTTTTTTACGACTTCCACCGGAAGAGCCCTGCAACTTCTCCTGGAATTTTAACAAATCATGTTTGTATTACTTCATGCCAGAAGTTAACGATTTACATTCTCCTGGAAGTTAATTCTTTAATTCCAGACTTGATTTGGAACTGACGTTTGCCAATTCTAACGATTTATCTTGAACGCTTATTCCAAGTTGAGCCAACAGCTGAAAGTCTCTATAATAAAGAAACCAATCAATCAATATTCCGTATAGTTCTTAATAGAGTTAATTTCACGGGAATGTTATGTCTAGCATTTTTCCGTAAATAATGTTTAATTTAATCAAGATAGCTTCCATAGAATGTGATAAAATTAGTGGAAATTGATTCCCAGGATGTCAGTAGCTGCGCCGCTACCAGAATCATAATTCGAATGCACCGAATCTACTGTTCCTACTTGAGCTTTACTTATAACGGCTTTTGTCGCATTCAGAAAGCTAAAAAGCATCGTTTCATTTCTTTCGAACAGCATAGAAATAGATGTTAATCTAGTTTCAAGTGGGTTTTCACGACCGGAGGATGCTGTTTTGGTAGCAATGGATACAGTATGGTATCTGGTGTATTATGTCTCTATTATCTCTAGGGATTTCATCCTTCATGTGGGTTTAGTTCTATGGGGTGAATAGGCAATCGAGTGAATCGAGTGTAAACAGAGCACGCATAAATACGCACGTCACGACTACTGGTCGGATAGGTTTGTTTGTGCTGAATGTATACTAGTCCAGTAGAAGCAGTAATATAGCATTCTTGTGAAAAGAAATGTGGTAGACAGTGGCGTTGTACATGATAGAGTTGTTGATGTTTAAAATATGCTTTTTCCCTTCTTGCATGACGCTTTCATGATCACGAATTATGAGGATGAGGATTTCATTCTGTTGAGTAAATACTGGCCGCAAATAAAACAGCTCAATGGGAAGTAAGGCGAAGAAAATTTCATAGCTATAAAATGATATAGCCTTCGAAATAATTCTCTAGTACCAAAAATTGACCTTTTCGAAGTCTTCTATAAGGTGATCGATGAAACATTTTACAGTTGACCTGACAGCTAAAAAGCTGTGAGTGTGTGAGTAAACAATCAAATTTTAAATGTTGAACTACATTTTCCGTTTTCTACTTCTTGACTTGAGACGTTCCAGCCAAGGTTGCTGCCATTCATATGATTTTTTTTTAAATTATGACATCATTAGATGTTATGATGATATTTTGTTCTTGTAAGATACAATATGAGGTTGTAAAATATGTGTTTGACACATAAAACCTTTAAATTTCAATTTCAGAGAGTAACAATTTTATGATTAGTGAATCATGTGCCAAACACATACCTTTACAACCTCTTCTGGTATCTTACAAGTACAAAATATCATCATACATCTAAAGATTTCATAATTTCGAAAAACATTTTTGTATAGCAAATAAATGGCAGCAACCCTGGTTTCAGCTTTCAAACACTTCTCTACTAACTGTTAAATAATAGAGAGCTTTTAATGCCTACTATTATTGCATTGCTTGAAATATCATGTGGTATAAATCGTACACGTAAACCATTTCCTATCATCATCTGTTCATGAACATTACAGCGAATGTTAGCAGTTGACCTTGCAGGCGATGTAATGGTTTTTGTCTTTTTTATTTCGTTCGCTTTCGACTATACCAGTAAGCTTTTTATTTATAACATTGTAAAACGACGCACACACTTCCCTCGAATCTCTCCGAAGTATACGGAGTCGAGTATGAGAGGAAATGAGCGCTTCGTGTTTGCTTTTAGGCTACCCATGTACAGAAACATGGAGAGAGCAGTGGATAAAGCACAGTTCTGATAATCTAAACTTGCGTGGTTCGAGTTCAGTGATGATGAATCCCACATAATTGTAAACGAATCTTACATCCCCCGGTTGGGTGTATTAACACCTAATCCAGGAAAGTCTAGAAAATTTTCAACCCAAAAATATCCTCAACGGATCCGGGATCGAAACCGTCGGCCTAAATAAATCTGCTTCATGACCGATTGTTTAACAGATTTAGATAATTCTGGGAGGGCCCTGTTGAATAACAACATATGCAGTCATGCAATCCGTTTTTTCTCCCTGGTTCACCACCGTCTGACAATGTTGTCCGTTTTCTGGTGGCTTTTGTATGTATTTGTTCTTCGAAGAAAGTTCTGACAAGGAAAATGTAAACTTATAATTTCGGCGTAATGGTCATTCGATATAACGACCTTCGGCCTACTTTTCTTTGGCCTAATGTCCTCCGGGTCCAATGGTCGGACACCAATTGCACGTTACATTATTTCAAGGATGCATTTTTAAAACGACCTTCTTGCTATTCTAAACAAATATTCAAACTTCAATTTGTCGAAACTCTTAGCTAGATCACGCAAACTAACACTAACTTCACCCTTCCTGATAGTGGTGTTGTTTTGCGTGGGTGAGCCTAGTGTTTTCACAAATTCATCCGTGTTTACAAAGTCCTTTTGAAATTTCATCCTTGAGAGGATTGGCTGTAAAAGAAATTAACCCAAATAAACATGTTTTTCTTGTTTACTTCCCGTCATTATCGGCTCCGTCACATATATGCCAATCACCAATACCGGCTTCACTTAGATTGTACATATCAAACCCATTAAACACACGGGTCGGGATCAAAAGCTTTCTTCTCCTGACAAAATCCCAACGATTTCGGCAAAGATTGAACCCAGACCCAGACCGGGCTCAATGCCACAAAAAGGCACCCAATTAGAATCATCAAAATGCTACTGCTGATTTAAACTACCCCCCGGTATCAGTAGACAAGAGTGCGGCGGCTGTTTTCAAGAACGACCTCTCCAACCAACTGTCAAATGTACATCAACGAAACTGTTGTAACACAGATCGCCACGGACCATGCCCCCTTTTCTAATCCTGGGCCAACGGCTTCCCATCATCATGACATCACCTACATCACGCCTCGAGACGGTGGCCAAACGTCACATTTGATAGACTTCGGCCTCCACCGCATGTAAATATGGGAATAAATAAAACCGTGTTTACAAAACAGACGCCTCGATCCGCAAATAATCCTCCATTGAACCAAACGATTCAGTAATCTATCCGGAGGAGAAAAGCGTTGTATTCTGGGCGACACTCAGGAGCGCCGCGGTGAAGAACTCTTCTCTGTTGGCTCTGATGGAGGATCCACGCTAGATTCTGCGTTCCATCCACTGATGTTTACTGTTATTATGGGAACGCTCAGTTGTTTACAAAACAAGAAAATGAGCAAAATGATAATTTGTTGGCAATTGAGAATGTGCTGATTAAGGGGCAAATTGATTTATACAACGACGGTGGGGGCAAAAAACGAGGAAAACAATTGTGGCTATCACCGGTTTAATTACTCTTTCCTATGGTAGTTCCCAAGCGCCCCTATGGCACCTGAGAGCCAAATCCTATCTATTACAGTCATGCTCGAAAGAAACAACAATCGAAGCTTGACCAAATTTCGTCCATCCGAGGTATGTTTTCGTTGGCATGCAAAGCAAATCTAAAAACCGGCGTGGATTGATGACTGATTGCTGGATTGACAAATTAGCCGCATCATCCACGCCGTTATCAGGTGCCGGGAGGATGAACTGCTTGTCTCTGTCACTGGGAAAAGCTGTGGAAGGTAATGCGATTATCATTGCTCCAATCGCTGATCTAGGTATAGCAGCCAGACAGATAGGTCAGTTGATTTAACTGTTGAACTACCGGCGGCTGCCACATATCCGGGAGGAATGATGCTAGTAGAGTGATCATTGGCGTGGGTGGCTGGGGTTTTGATGCTTTTTGCATGATTTGAATGATAACCGCTAACTAGAAGTGCATGGCCTGGTCGTGAGGCATCGATGGCGATGGGGCCCTGTTTACTAAAAATGAACCCATGAATAATGCTTGCGTAACATTTGCAAAGGGCCTATCAACTTTTGTAAATAATTTGCTAGGTCCTTTTCACGAGAACCGAAGAACGCCCACGCAAACCAAGAGCACTATCGGGAAGAGGAGAATTTCCTCTGCCCGATGGTGTTGTTAGTTTGCGTGAGCGTATTCGGTTCGCGCGAAAAAGGCTTAACAAGTTTTGTGTACATAAGTTGATAGACCCGTTTCAAATGTTACGTGAGTATTATTCATGTGTTTATTTTTTTTAGAAAAAAGGGCCCCGCTGTTGTGTCACTTTTTGTCGAGTGAGTGAACTCAAATCCATCCGTGCACTCGTCTATA